ATTGTTGTTTGGCGGGTCCGGGCTGGGGATTCGAACTCGCCACCTTAGGTGTACGTGGCTGGCGCCTTAGCTGGTTGAGCTATAGGTGCCGAGCCGAGATCTCAAAGTTTTACCAGGTTAAATAGGATTACAGAGACCTTAGTATTCCCAGTGTGCAAAAGAAGCAGAAAAAAGAAATATAGTCCTAAAAAAAAAGCTAGTCTAGTACAAATTTTAAATGATTCCCCAGAGCTTTTCCTAATGTCCTTGTAAGCATAAGAGTAACTCACCAAGTCAGGTGTGGTGGCTCAAACCTGTAATCCTAGCATTCTGAGAGACTGAGGAGGGAGGATCCCTGGAGCTCAGGAATTAGAGACCAGTCTGAGCAAGAGCAAGAACCTGTCTCTAATAAAGATAGAAAAAAATCAAGTGTGCATTGTGCTGTAAACCTTGTAGTCCCAGCTACCTGGGAGGCTGAGGCAGAGGATTGCTTGAGCCCAGGAGTTTGAGGTTCCAGTGAGCTACAATCTTGCCACTGCACACTATCCAGGGGATAGCAAGAATTCCCCCCACCTCAGAAAAACCTCTTAATGTGTGAAATTGGTTTGAATTCATGTTAAACTGTCATAAGGAAACCCCATGAGACATTTCTCGTCCACCTTGATGGACATAAATATTTTGAAATGCAGGTTTCTAATCATATTGTGAACAACTACAAAACCTATATGAGTTGTCTGAAGTGTTATCATTTACAGGTTTGTGACGCATTCCTGGATCCTCCAGCCAGCTCAACATCCGCTCCTCCAGGACGGGGTCCTAATTAAGGTCCTCCCAAGACAGACTTCATTGGATCCACGCTCAAGAGGACTCTGTTAAGTTTTCCAGACCCTTTTACATCACTGTAAAGTGCCAAGGCCTTAAGATTTGGGTACGTGTATTACAACGGCAAGAGTGCCAGCACCAGCAAAAGATCCATTGGACCCGTCAGCTCCTCTCTTTCACCAAGCAGACATAATAATCTTACCAAGAGAGCAGAGTAAGCCAAGTGCCTCTGTGTGACACCACTGCCAGCTGATAACACATAAGAAAAAATAACTAATTTAGCCTAGAGCCTATCTGTTCTTGAGAAGCTGGAATTTGAAGGAGCTATTCTGATATCTGTGCTGCTAGTAAGTGGCTAATAGCATTGTAAGTGACTGATAACATTATAGACTGGATTGGTCCCTGAGTTCAGAGACTGAGTTGCAATTGAGTGAAAAATAGACAACGAAATCTTGAAGAATTGCAATACGGTACAAGCCAAATTTAATCTTCTCCGAGTAATGTTGGTTGAACTGAGCAATTGCTAAACCAAACCTGTATTAGGACTGGTTATTTGGGTGTCTCTCTTTGTCATTGTTGCTTCTTGCTGTTACATTGCTCCCTGTCTTGTAGGTCCAAATGTTCTCAGATAATTCACATTGCCCTGATTGTGGACAACAGTGGTTCCCTAGTTTAGAATTAGGCCATTGGTTGTACCAAACTGAACTTGTTGAAAATGAATGTTACCAAGTATTTCTAGACCGTATTAACAGAGCCGATTATTGCCCTGAGTGTTATCCTGATAATTCTGCTAATAGAAGCCTTGTTCTTCCATGGTCTTTCCCACTTGAGTGGGCTCCCCAGAATCTTACCAGATGGACCTTTGAAAAAGCTTGCCATCCATTTCTTCTGGGTCCTCCACTGGTTAGAAAAAGAATACATGACTCCAGAGTAGCTGGTTTTAACCCTGCATTACAGTTAATCTTGACCAGAACAGACAAAACCTTAAATAAAAAACTCGGCCAAAGCAAATAACTTCTCTAACAGTCATGATCATCAAGATTCTAAAGGGTTTTGTGCTAAAAGCCCAAGGAATATGGGGAAAAAACTAATAATTTTTAAACCTGACCCATGCTATCACTACTTTGGAAAACTGCTTCAATTGCTGGATCTGTTTCTGTGGCCTATGCATATGTTGTTCAGCATGAATTTAGTCAGTATTCAAGCCAGACTGTTCATCTAGAACTAGACTAAGACTAATCCACATTCCCTCTAAGCAGTGTTTTGGAACTATGTTGCCACTCTTGAAAAGTTGCAGAGCCTAATTATTGACATATGACAATATGGATCCTTAGAATAATAAGATAATCCTAGAAAGAGGCCCCATACTGTGTGCTGAATAATGGTATTTCTAATGGTAACTTTTGTGGGAAAGCATTTTCATTGAAGCTGGATCTTAGATTATTCCAGTAAATTATAAAAAGAACTTAGTTCTAAATTCCACCTCTTATATACATTGATCAACTATGGGGTGTGTGTGTGTATGTGTGTTTATATATATCATATAATTTATTCTTATATTGCCATCTGTTCATCATTGATTCTGGCCGATCAGTGTGGCTGTGACATTGATAGCTGGTCACTGTTAGAGAAGTCACATCTGTTAGGCAATATTTAACATAGGTTATGTAAAAACATGCAGAAATGCTGCCAGTCTGCACTTAGTTGGCTTTACATAAACAAAGATTAGCCTGTCTTTGAGGTAACTGAATTTACAATGTCCTCCCCTGGCCTGGAAATGGAAAAGTACCTGTACTATGAGATACATGACAAAAAGAATTATCAAGCCTCACTTCATATATGTTAAGAACAGTCTAGAACAAGCATCTTTCTTAGTACTATGCTAAGAAGGTCTTGCTGAACATTGGCCACATTCTGGACTTCTCGTTACAAAAAGCGTAGATCCAGAATTAGGACTAAGCAATTTAGAAAAAGCTATTGAAAACATCTCAGAGGCCTCTGAACAATTCTTAAATTAATGTTTAAGATGCTAGGTATCTAGTGCTCGTGTATTACCTCAACAATGTTACCAAGGTCCCAGGCTTTTTCTTTCCCCTGGGATCCTTATCCTTATCATGTTTGCTTTTTGTCCTTTTAGTGGTTTCCTCAATGAATGCAATATGGCTTGTTGTTGCACCAGATATTTTAATCCCAGGCAAAGGCTGAAAGTATCAAACAGCAAAAAGGCTTTCTCCTTTCAAGTCTATCTTATTTGGGAATAAAATCTTTCCCCAAAGTCCATAGCAGGTTTCTTCTTACATCTCATTAGAAGACACTGGTTTAGGGCACCACCTATGGTTCAGTGAGTAGGGTGCCAGCCCCCTATACCGAGGGTGGCAGGTTCATACTCAGCCCTGACCAAACTGCAACAAAAAAGGCCAGGTGTTGTGGCAGGCACCTGTAGTCCCAGCTACTTGGGAGGCTGAGGCAAGAAAATTGCCTAAGCCCAAGAGTTGGATGTTGCTGTGTGCTGTGATGTCACGGCACCCTACTGAGGGCAACAAAGTGAGACTGTCTCCAAAACAAAAACGAAGAAGAAGAAGAAGATGATAGTGGTTCACTTGGAAGCTTGGCAAAGGAGAACATTGCCTGGCATGGCAATCTACTGATAAAATCAGGGCTCTTTGAGACGAGAGAAGTGAGAAATGAATGGCTATTGGAATGCAACAAATGATACTTGCCACATGTTGTGGAATCTAAAGTTATTTGTTAGTCTGTATAAAGAATGTACCTTAGGGATCTATCCTGTACCTGCCTTATGTCTATCCTGATGGAGGTTCTCTCTTGTTATATTGCTAAATAAACTGTGTGGGCTGCTAAATGGAGTAAAGACTAGTAAGTTTGTCATTAACCTTTAATTACAAACTCCTTCGCTATCCTAAAAAGTGAAAATTTACTTTGAGATAGTGCTTTTGAGGGTAGTATTATGATCAATATTGTCTCCTATTTTTTTTTCAGTTTTCAGAAAATGCTTATGCTACAAGGACACACACTAAGAAATACTCTCTATATGTGAAATTTTAAATAGCAAAAGAGAGAAAAGGTCTTTGTTTTCGTTTTAACCAGTCACTCCTTTATATAGTAAGGTCAGTTCAAAAGGACTTAGACCATTGATTTCTCAAATCAATACCTAAGTAGTACCTTATTCAAAAACACAGATTTCTTGGTCAACTATAGAAATTTTGATTCCTTAGGCAGCTTGTAGGGCCCAGGTATCTGCATATTATAAATAGCACCCCAGGAGATTCTTAGGCAGTGTTCTATGGACTGTACTTTGTGAAACACTGTAGTAGCACATCCATCGTGTTTACTTATCTGGCTTAAAAGAATAGGAGCTGAGACTCTTATAAAACTGCAAGGTAGTAATATTTATTGTACTTTGCTATGCTGGTGACATATAAAGAAGTTTCATATCAGACTGAAGATCACTGTTGATGTTTTAGGACAAGCTCAGTCCTGTTTTTCTCATTTAAACTAGTCAGAACAGCCCTCACAAACAGCCCTCATTTAAACTAGTCAAAACAGCCCTCACAAACAACTCTGTTCAGTGGCATTGTAAGCTACATATGTGAATATATGGGCAAAAGCAAGGAGTCAAAAATATTAAGGGTACTTTGCCTTCATACATGTTTATATTGTCATGCCTGTTACATGAGCAGCTCTCAGAAACCAGCGTCATGTAGAGCACATAAAATCAAGCACAGGAGAACATTTAGGAAGGCTTTGCAGCTTTGCAACTTAGATCTTTCGTGTATGACTTCATATGGCTTAAGATAGTGCACATTCTAAAAACCCATAGTTGATGTGAATAATGAGTTTTATTAAAACATAAGTAGTCTGTTAGAAATAATTATAACAACAAATGACTGGGGAGGTTATATGGTGTTTTAAATTGTATAAGTTATATTTGTCTCTTTTTTTAGTATGGAAGTATTGATAATATTTATAATGGTAGCATTTCTGAAGCAACCATTCTAACTACTTCCTATTTTATGGCAGACCTGGGAGTGGAAGGGTTAATGGAAACATGCTGGGGCAGATTGGGAAGAAAATACATCCACCAAAAAGGTGGAGGCTCTCATGGGATGTAGGTGACTGAGGTTAAGATTTATTACTAAGTTATAGAAGAAAGAACAGGCAAAAATAAGGCCACGGCATCCAAACACTGTGTGGGGATCTGTATATCCCTGGCTGTACAAGTGAGATGAGCCAGAGGCCTTTTCATCTCTCCAATCCCCCATGACAGCCCTTGAGTCTCTATGGTATTTTGGGGACACAACCTGAAAACTACTTTTTTTCGATGGAGAAATAATGGCCTTTTCACTAGCTGGTTTTGGTTTCTAATTCTGACACTATTAAACAACTTTGGGCATTTTAACCTATCTAGTTTCTTCATCTGTGAGATCTGTTTTGTAACCATACCTGCCTCACACTGTTGCGGGGTTTAAATGTGATAATATATACAATCATGTGGCCCAGAGTAAATCCTGAGGACAAGAAAGATACAGGGCAGGAAGGCAAAAGTTAGAACTAGGCAGTAAGGTAGAGTCATAGCACAGTGATTAAAGCCAGTTGTTAGAACATGATTCTGAATTATTTAAATGCTTCTTAAATCAGTTATGAAGATTAAATGAGTTAATATATAGTGCTTTGAATGCTGCCTGACGCAAAGCATTCAATAAATATAGATTTATAGTCATGTATGCTTTATTGTTATTTCTTTCCACAGCAGGATTGTAAATTGTTCAAGGGCCAGGATGTGTTTCTTATCTCTACGAGCCTAGAATGGCATCATTCACTAAAATAAACATGTTTAAAAATAAAAAAAGGTATACACTTAGTGTACCCTTATTGCCATACATTAGTCATGATGGCGTTTATATCTGAACTACCGTCCTGGAATTACTGATTCTTTTTTGATTTCCTTAGCTGCTAAACTTCTAATTTCCTTCTCTATTTAAAAAAAGAAATTCAATTTTTGTGTTTCCTGATACCTACTCCTTTCTCTCCCCAGGTTTTCTTCTTTTCCTCTCCTTTTCACTGACCCCCATGATAACACTAGCAGTTCATGGGATGGAGTGGAGAATGGATAAGATCCTGCTGCTCTCCCAGCCCCGATTTTGTCTCACAGGCAGCCTTTCTCTGTTCTGTATCCTCTCGGCTTATTACAACAAAATGCATAGGAGCCTGTGGTTGAAGCATACCTATGTAATACAAGGTCATTGCATGTGGGCTTACAGAGTTAATACTATGGATCTTTCCTTTTAATACTTTAACTACAAAGGTTAATATATTTCGTTTCTCAATTTTAAAATTGATTACCTATGTCAAATATACAGAAAAATGCAGAGAATAAATAAAAAGCACCTATGTACCTAGATCTAAAATACATTAACATTTTGCCATACTTAACCTCATTTTTTTTTTTTCCAAGACACTGTCTTTGTTGCCCTGGGTAGAGTGCTGTGGCATCATAGCTCACAGCAACCTCAAACTCTTGGGCTTGAGCCATCCTTTCTACTCCACCTTTTGAGTAGTTGAGACTGCTCAAAAGTTGAGACTGCACCTGCCACTCTTGCTCAGGCTGATTTTGAACTCCTAAGCTCAAGGGATCCACACACACACACACACCCCCCACAGAGTGCTAGGATTACAGGCGTCAGCCACTGCACCTGGTTCAGTTCTTTTTCTTTTTTAAGAAACTTTACATATACAGTTAAGATCCACTTTTTATTATACATTTCTACATAGGTAAACAATGCACTGAGTAAAAGAAGAATGGAATACTTTCAAAACTTGATTAGTTTTAAGTTCATATTTAAGCATATAATATGTATTGATTTGTAGTTACCCTTAGAACACATAATTTTTTTTTTTCCTAAGACAGCCTCAAGCTGTCCCCATGGGTAAATTGCTGTGGCATCACAGCTCACAGCAACCTCTAACTCCTCATCTTAAGTGATTCTCTTGCCTCAGCCTCCCAAGTAGCTGAGGCTACAGGCACCCGCCACAACGCCCACCTATTTTTGTTTTTGTTTTAGTAGTCGTCGTTTAGCAGGCTCAAGCTGGATTCGAACCCACCAAGGTCTGGTATATGTAGCTGGTGCCTTAGCTGTTTGAGCTACAGGCGCTGAGCCAGAACACTTAATTTTATATGTTGGAGTCTTCTAAACTTGGTCATGTGACTGCTGTGCAAAGGTGGTTTGGTCTACTGCACAGTGGCACCTACTAGATCAGATTGTCAAAGCATTTACAATTGTACAGGGAGATGAAGCAGACAGGGTATGTTTTTTTTTTTTTTTTGAGACAGAGCCTCAAGCTGTCCCCCTGGGTAGAGTGCCATGGCATTACAGCTCACAGCAACCTCCAACTCCTGGGCTCAAGCGAGTCTCCTGCCTCCGCCTCCCAAGTAGCTGGGACCACAGGCGCCCGCCACAACGCCCGGCTATTTTTTTTTTGGTTGCAGCCGTCATTGTTGTTTGGCGGGTCTGGGCTGGGGATTCGAACCCGCCACCTTAGGTGTATGTGGCTGGCGCCTTAGCCGCTTGAGCCACAGGCGCCGAGCCGACAGGGTATGTTTTTAAAGACAGCACAGAGCAGCAACATTTGCAGAGGGAAGTGAGGCAAATTTGTGTTCCTCTTGAGAGAGGTCTCAGGAAATCAAAAGTAAAGCATATCCCTCAGCCTAAAAGGAGAATATAAAACTTTATGGCCTTAACCTGTTCAAAGCCCTGAGGGAGTTTTCAGGGTCACAGGGAAGTAGAGATGACTGTCGTCAATGAGGTTAAATTTTATTTAAGTAGAAAAATGTATCATCACCTCCATGTATGAGGCACTGAAAACCAACATTTCACAGTTGAACTTGTAAGGGATTCACTAAAATAAGGGTCTTGTGTGCAGCACACAGGTCTTCATCAGATCCTTGTTGCAAAAGATATCTTTTTTTTAGGGATGCTTATGAAGTGTTTTTTCTACAGCTACAGAAAGTTTCCAACAACCTCAATTCTCATCAGGAACACTCAGGTTCCTAATGAACACATCTGATAGGGATTGGATACCGGTCAGAAGATCTACCTGCCTCTGGAACGGGGGCCTCCAGACCTCCCTCATACCCTGCTGTGTGACTTACTGTGAGGGTGTGTCAAGAAACTTGTTTGTCCAGCTTCCTTGCACTGTGAGCGGTGATGATTGTTTCTTTTCTTACTTTTTTTTGAGACAGAGCCTCAAGCCATCGCCCTGGATAGAGTGCTATGGTGTCACAGCTCACAGCAACTTCCAACTCCTGGGCTTAAGTGATTCTCTTGCCTCAGCCTCCCAAGTAGCTGGGACTACAGGCGCTGGCCATGACGCCTGTCTATTTTTTGGTTGTACTTGTTGTTTGGCAGGCTCGGGTTGGATCTGAACCCTTGAGCTCTGGTGTATGTGGCTGGCGCCTTAGCCACTTGAGCCACCCTGGTGGTTGTTTCAAAGAATGTGCATGAAGGGAGCTACAGAATTGATGGACGCTTTGTGACAGGAAAGGTGTATGCATGTTAAGCATTTGTAAGATTTTAGAAATATCTGTGCTGGCTTTCCTTTGTAGATTCCTTTTATTTTAACCTCATAACCAGTTTTCAATACAGTTTTGAAAGCATTCAGTTCTGTTTGTTTTCAACAAAGTTTACTGAGGATAATCTACATACAATAAATATACAGATTTTAAGTTTGGTGACAAATGGAACCACCACTTCAGTAAAGAGGAAACATTTTTATCACTTCAAAAAGGTTTCCTAATTGCTGTTTTCTAGTCCATACACCTTCTCCCAGTAACTGCTAATCTATTTTCTCTGCTGCTGGTCATAATCATTTGCCTGTTCTAGAACTTCATATAAATGGAATCATTTGACATGTACCTTTATGTGTGGCTTCTTTCACTCTTAGATTCTTCCAACTCTAAAAGGGATGACAAGGAACTCTACAAATTTGAGGCATTGCGCACTACCAGAAAGAAGAGTCTGTCCTTAATTCCTGCCTTCCATTTTATGTACATGATCACTATTCATGCTTTCATTCACTTTTTATATTCTTTTAAAATATGGTGTTCTTAAAAAAATACGGAGTTCTTAATATGTGCTAGACACTGTGCTAGGCATTTATGATCAAAATTTTCAACTGGTAAAATTAAGTTTTACTAAACAGTACTGTGAGAAAAATACAGAGAAGTCTAGTTAGCATCTTAACTAGGCTATAAAAAAGTAACACGGCCCAAAGCTAGACAGGATGTCCCAAGAGTTGCCCAATGAGAATACAGGTACATTTAGCTATAATATCTCATTCCCCGAGATATTATAGCTAAATGTACCTATATTTACAAAAATATAAATGAACTGAGATATTATAGCTAAATGTACCTATATTTACAAAAATATAAATGAACTGAGATATTATAGCTAAACGTACCTATATTTACAAAATATTCTCTCTGTGTTGGCTGTCTCTTTGAGGTTGTATGTATAGTATCTTGGGGACATGAGATAATATAGCTAAATGTACCTATATTTACAAAATATTCTCTGTGTTGGCCATCTCTTTGAGGTTGTATTTTTTTTATTTAATCCTCATAGCAATCCTTTATAGGTCATGAAGGTTAAGTAACTTAATTGATCAATTTGTTTTTGAGAAAATAAGACGAAACTATTAACAAAAATGATTTTATTTTTATTACTTACAATCTGCTTCTGATTTTGATTTCTTTTGTATAAAGCCCATAATAATTTTGCCTTATCTGTCTTCTTGGAGCACTGGATAAAAAGGCATTGCACATGTTTAAAGGGGTATCTGTCTCGGTATTTTACAATAAGATACCATTAGAAAACCAATCAGGTAGCAGTCCACATGTGTATTTCCTAGTACCTCAAGGCAGCCCTGTGCATTGTGACTTGTTAATAAGTGAAAACCTCTGATAGGCAGACTGTGAGAAAGTTATATGGGGAAAAAATTGAAGATGTAAAGGAAATAGTGACTTAAATTTCTAATCTTAGAGGTTTTTTTAGCTTTGTCTATTCTCTTTGAGATTTTGGTCCCTTGATCTTTTTATATTCTTTCACTTTCACTGGGATGTATTAGGAGATGTCCATGCAAGGTTAATAGTCTGGAGGTCTTGGTTTTATTTTTGTCTGTTAGCTTGTTTTTTGTAGTCTAGGATTTGGAGTTTGAATCTCCAAATACACTGGAAAGCTGGAAAGCAGTTTTTCTTTACTAAAATGTTCCAGAGAGCAGCTATTCAAACTAAGCAGATTGAATAAAGCTGAAATTGGCATTTCCCCTTTGTATGAATAAAAAGTCATTTAATTTTTTTCATTTTATTTTAGTTACTGTATGTATGCCTTGTTTCCTGGGTCCACGGGAAGCATGAGTCTGTTGGGACTTGGGACAAGAGGAAAACAAGACATCTTCACAAGGAAAATCAGACACTAAAAAAACTACCCCAAACTCTGAAGAGATAGAACACAAACATGACCGACAGTGGATTTAGGGATCCTCAAGAGGGTAAGACTAGTTTTTGTACAGCACTGAGGTTTGTGCTGTGGGAAACTAGGGCTGTGTGGAGAGAGAATTGTCTGATGACTTAGACCTGAAGTTTTGAAGTAAAAAAGCTTATTCAGTGGATCAGTTTGTTACAACTGTTACTATTCTTTCATATTTACTGAGTCTTACCATAATATGAGACCCTAATTATAAGAAGGATAATTGTCTTAAGAGACTCCAGTAATAGGAACCTATCGTATTGGAAAAATATAGTCCATCTTTTAAAAAGATGATAGACCTTTAGAGTTACGTTTCTAAAATTTATAAAAACCCTGTGATGTGCTGTATTTAGAGGGGATTGATCTTTCAGTTATAGGTAAGGATGGAATTTAAGATCTTTATCCTGCTTGTATTTATGAGATATAAAATTGGTAAAATATGAAATAGATTTTTAAGAAAAGAAAGAGGGTATTTTTAAAAAAAATCTTTTTATAAGCTGGGTACAGGGGCTCTTGCCTATGGCCCCAGAGTGAGACGAACTCTTCCCCCCACACCCTGCCCTCTTCTCAAAAACTACAAAAACAAGAAAACTTTTTACTGTCGAAGTTTTTAAATATTATGAAAGTAGAACAGGGTAATGAATCCCCCTGTGTATCCAACATCCAGCTTCAAGTCTTACCAACATAATGCTGAATTTGTTGCTTGCCCAGGATTATTTTAATGTAAATTCAAGACATCATATCATTTTATTTTACTTGTAAATACTTTAGTTTACATCTCCAAGAGATAGATTGTTTTTGAAAAATATAACCAAAATATAGAAAATTTCAGGCCATTTCAGTGACTCATGCCTGTAATCCTTGTACTTGGGGAGGTTGAGGTGGTAGGGCAGCTTGAGGCCAGGATTATGAGGTTGCCATAAGCTGTGATTGCACCACTGCACTGTAGTCTGGGCAACAGAATGAGACCCTGTCTT